CAAAATCACCATCAACCTCACCACCGTCACTATCACCACCAACAACAACACTACCATCACAATCCTTATCCTCATCGTCAACATCATCATCTTCATCATCAATATCGTTGATATCGCCATCATCATCGTCGTCATCATCATTAGAATCAGTATCATCATTATCATCAGTATCAGCATCAGCATCATCATAATCAGCACCATCACCATCACCACCAACACCAACAACATCGTCATTATCACAACCAGCACCATCACCACCACCACCACCACCACCACCACCACCTCCACCAGGGCTTCACGGATGGAGGGCGGCAACTGTTCAAGATGTGGTTCTAGCCCCAGCGCCGCGCACACTCGTCTTAATTATCCGGGCGAAGGACCCAGCCATATGCAACTGTGAGTACCGCAAGGCAGGTGGAACGAAGGAGGGGAAGATGTTATGGGGCCGCGAGAGTGAGTGGCGCGGACGCTCGTGTTCGCAACCATTGGGGCATTCGGTGGAGGTCCCTATGGAACCACGAAGCGTTGTACTGGGTGGCGCGGACGCACGTAGTCACAGCCACTGGGGCCTTCGGTGGAGCTCCCTATGGGGCCACGAAACACGCTGTTGTCGGTGGCGCGAGCCCGTGTGGTCACAGCCGGTGGGGCAGTCGGTGGAGTTCCCGATGGGGCTACGAAGCGCTGTGCTGGGCGGCGCGGACGCAAGAGCCACGGGGGCCTTCAGTGGAGCCCGCTGTGGGGCCACGGGACGCTGTACTAGGTTGCGCGGACGCATGTGGTCACAGCCACTGGTCTCTGTTTGTTTATCGGGTCACGGCCACGGGGGCCTTGGGTGAAGCTCCATATGAGGTTCCGAAGCGCTGTAATTGGTGGTGCGAGCGCATGTGGTCACAGCCACTGAGGCGTTCGGTGGGGCTCCCTATAAGGCCACAAGAAACAATGTACTGGCTGTCGCGGGCGCGGGTGGTCACAGCCACTGGGGCCGTCGGTAGGGCCCCCTTATGGGGCCACGACGCGCTGTACTGGGTGGCGCGGGCGCATGTGGCCACAGCCACTTGGCCATTCGGTGGAGCCCCCCCCTGGGGCCACCAAAAACTGTAATGGGTGGCACGGGCGCATGTGGTCACAGCCACTGGGGCATCCAGTGGAGCTCCCTATGGTGCCACGAGAAACGCTGTTGTGGGTGGCGCGGGCGCATGTGGTCACAGCCACTGGGGCCTTCGGTGGAGTTCCCTGTGGTGCCATGAAACGCTGTACTTGTCATGGACGCATGTAGTCACAGCCACTGTGGCCTTCGGTGGAGCTTCCTGCGGGGCCACGAAAAACGGTGTTGGGTGGCGCGGGCGCATGCGGTCACAGCCACTGGGCCCTTCAGTGGAGCTCCCTGAGGGCCACGAAGCGCTGTGCTGGGTGGCGCGGGCGCATGTGGTCACAGCCAGTGTGGATGTGGAGGCATATGGGGCCGCGAAACGTTGTACGGGGTGCCGCGGACGCATGTGGTCACAACCACAAGGGCTTTCGGTGGAGCCCCCATTAAGGGGCCACGAAACGCTGTACAGGGTGGCGCGGACGCACGTGGTCACAGCCACTGGGGCCTTCGGTGGAGCTCCCTATGGGGTCACGAGAAAAGCTGTACTGGTTGGCGCGAGCGCATATGGTCACAACCACGGGGGCCTATCGGTGGACCTCCCGATGAAGCCATGGAACTCAGTACTAGGTGGCGCGGACGCATGCGGTCACAGCTACGGATCCTTCGGTGGGGTTCCTTATGGGGCCACAAGAAACGCTGTATTGGGTGGCGCGGCCGCGTGATCACAGCCACGGGGGCCTTCGGTGGAGCTACCTATGGGGCCACGGAGAGCTGTACTGGACGGCGCGGACGCGGGTCGCACCCACGCGGGCCATCGGTGGAGCTCCCTGTGAGGCCACGTAGGGCAATACTGGGCGGCGCGGACGCATGTGGTCACAGCTACGGGTGCTGCCTTCGGTGGAGCCTCCCATGAGGCCAAGAGACGCTGCACTGGGTGCGGAGGGCAGAGGCAGGGATAGGAGGATGGGGATGATGGGCGAGGAGGAGGAAAAGGAGGAACGCGGGGCGCTCTCTCCTCAAAAAAAGGACCCAACACCACAGGACGATTGGAAAAAAATGCAAGAGGTTCATGGATGGCGGGAGGGTCGTTTTCAAAATGTGGCTCTCACTGTAGCGCCGCGCGCATTCCTCTTAAAAGTGCACAAACGCTTTACGGATGGATGGCGGTTCCTTTTCAGCATGTGGTTCTCGCATTAGCACCGCGCACACTCGCCTTAAACATTTGCAAGAGCGTCACGGATGAAGAGCGGGTCGTCATCAAAACGCGGTTCTCGCCAGAGCGCCGCGCATACTGGTGTTATAAAGGTTGGCATGAGCTGCACGGAGGGATGGCGGCTCTTTTTCCAAATGCGCTCTCGCCCTAGCGACGCACATACCCAACTTCACAATTAAGAACTTCATGAATGGAGGGCGGGTGGTTTTCACAAAATGGTTCTCGCTTCAGCGCCGCGACATTCGTCTTCAAAATGCGCAAGCGTTTGTTTCACGGATGGAACGCGACTCTTGTTTAAAATGCGGCTCTCGCCTTAACGCCCAGACTTCGAATTGCCCAAATCTTTTTCTCATTAGAATTAGTATTATGAATGACAATAAGATTAGTATTAGTATAGGTATTATAGGTTTTATTAGTGTGCTTATTATTAGTAGCATTCGTATTCTTATGGATACTAGTGTTATTTGAATCATCATTAGTATTATAATTTGTCGTCATACTGTTCCTCCTCCTCCCCTTCATCGACCTCCTCCTCCTCCTCGTCCTCCTCCTCCCTGTCCCCATCGACCTCCTCATCCGCCCCACTCTCCCTCCTGCATTTCCTGAACGAACCCCAAGGGGGGCCCTCTCCGGAGGCGGCGGCTGCTGCGCCGGCTCCACGTCGGCCCCGGGCAGAGGCCCGGCCGGGGCGCCCGCGGCGGCCTCGACCGCGGCGAGCGGGTCCGCCAAGGCCCCGGCCTGGGAGGGAGTGGCGCAGGTAGGCTTCAGGGGCCCCACGCCTCCAACGCAGTGATAAAAAAAGGGGGATGCTTGTCGCAGTGTTCGGCGCCCGGGGTCCCTCCAGGGGCGGGCCCCGGGGCCCTCGGAAAAACGACTCGGGATGGACAACTGGCCTCCAGGAAGAAGTCCAGACCTCCGGGGGTCCACGTCGTGAAAAGTCAGGATGACAAGGGTCTAGGTATCGACAAGCGCGGTCCACACATCCTCGCAAGGTGGCCGCTACCAAATGGCCTGGATCCGCCGCGAAGGACTTACGATCCGTTGTATCGAGGCAAGCATGCGTTTTCCAGACGTTTACGAGTAGGCACTTTGCGAGTAGTGGAACGGTTTCGGTGAGGGTATGGAGAGATGGCGGCGCACACAAAGGGGTAGGGGGAAGGCGGAAGGCCTCTTAGGAGGGCGGTTCTTAGAAGGCGCCCGCCCTACATCTGTGGATAAGGCCCGCGCCTTGTAAGAGGCAGGGGTGCCTCTAAGAAGCCTTCCCCCCTCCCCCTGCCCTCCTCTGCGCGTGGCCGAGCAGGGGAAAGGGGGAGGGAGGACTCCGTACCAGACTGCGTGTTGCAGGGGGGGCCCTCGGGGCAGGTCCACCCCGTGGCGAGTGTCGACCACCTGGGGGGGAGTGGCGCCGGGCGACGCTCCACCGGGGCAGCGGGAAGCAACCATGGAGCCCGCCTGATTGGTGCACGCGCGGGGCACGTACGGGGCACGCGGCCACGCACGGGGGAGAATCGCCTCCATGTGGGAGGGAGGAGCTCTTCCATCAACGTCATCCCTCTCCTCCCCCCCTCGCCCTCCTTGCCTTCTTCACCACCATCGTCACCTATCGCCACCATCGTAGTCACACTCATCAATCTCACCGTCGTCCTCGCCGCCGCCGCCATCTCCTCCCAGGAGCCCTCCAGGGGTCCATCCTAGCCGCCTTCCCAGACCTCCGACGCCATAATTTTGTTGACGGCGTCGACCCCACGAAGGTCTCGGCTCATTCCTGGACTGACAGTCCTGGGTCCCGCAGCAATGGCCCCCGGAGGTCGACCTGGCCAAAACCCGCCCGTCGAATTTTTTCCACGACGCGAGCCTGCCTGGGACCCCTCGAGGGGTCGATCCTGGCCGCCCTTCCAGGCCGCGCCCGGCCATGCCCAGAACGCGGCCGCTCACCGCCGCGGCCGCTCGCCGCCGCTCGTCGCCGCTCGCCGTCGGCACAGGGCCGTCGCTGTTGCCGCCGTCGTCTGCGTGGCCGCCGTGCGCCGCCGCCGCCGCCGCCGCTGGGCGCCGCGGTCGTCGCGAGCGCCGTCGTCTCGGCGGCGGCGCCGCCGACACCTCTTCACCGCCGCTCGCCGCCGCCGCCTGCCGTCGTCCGCCGCTCGTCGCCGCCGCCACCATCGCTGCCACCCTCGCCGCCCTCGCCGCCGTCGACCGCGCCCCTCGCCGCGTCGTCGTCGGGGCGGCGCCTCGGTGGGCGCCGCCTCGACGACGGCCGCCGCCGCCGCGGCGCCGGCAGCGCCGCCGACGCCCCAGCTTGCCCACCTCTTGGGGGCCCTGAGCGCGGCGGCCGCTGCTCGGGCAGAAGAGCGGGCCCACCCGGGGCCCGGGAAGGGGCCCTGAAAGCACGGGGCCTCTGGGGGCCCACGTCGTGGAAAGCACCGGGTGCGTCGGGGATCACCAGGGAGGTCGAGGGGAGGGGCCCGCCCCTGGGCGATTCCCTCCCGAGCTGGCTCGGCGTCGGAGCCAGCTGGGCCGCCGAGTGGGCTCAGCACAGGGGCCCGCTCGGCTGCCGAGCGGGCTGGCTTTCCGCCGCCCTGTCGGCATCCCCGCTCGGCGGCCGGATGGGCTCAGGGGCCCGACGGGCTCAGCAGGGAGGCCGTGGGCAACGGGCTCAGCAGGGAGGCCGTGGGCAAGGAGGGGAGAGGGCCCTGCCACCCGGCGCCGAGCCACAGGCAGGAGATCCCCGCGGCCAGCGCGAAGATGGCGATCCTCTGGGAGCCCAGAAACGCAGGAGCAGCGGGCCCAGACCCCCGACGCCGTGATCTTGCTCACACCGCCGACCCCCAGAGGTCTGGACCCCTTCCCCGGGACTGGCTTCTCCGCCGGAGGGCTTCTGTTCACGCTCCCGAGGCCCGGGAAGGGCCCCCGGAGGCCGAAAATAGCGACAGACCTCCCGTCGTGCTGCTTGCACACCTCGGGGCTTCTCCGCCGGAGGGCTTCTGTTCACGCTCCCGAGGCCCGGGAAGGGCCCCCGGAGGCCGAAAATAGCGGCAGACCTCCCGTCGTGCTGCTTGCACACCTCGGGGGGGCCCGGGGAGCAGGAGGCGGAGGGCCCAGACTGCCTCGCGCCGAGGGGGGCCCACGCCCGCAGGCTTCCGGCCACACGCCCTGGACTCTCGGGGCCCCCACCGGGGGCCGCCGCGGCACCGTCCGGGAAATCCTCGGGGAGGAAGAGCTCCGTCCCGCCCCGGGAGTGCGGCCTGGACCTCCGGGGGCCCACGGCCCCCACGGCCTCCTCCTCCTCCTCCTCCTCCTCCTCCTCCTCCTCCTCTTCTTCTTCTTCTTCTTATTATTATTATTCTTATTTTTGTTATTATTATTATTATTCTTCTTCTTCTTATTATTATTAGTCTTATTAATATTATTATTATTATTCTTATTATTCTTATTCTTATTAGTATTATTATTCTTATTGTTATTATGTTTCTTATTATGCTTATTATTATTATTTTTCTTCTTATTCTTATTCTTATTATTATTCTTATTATTATTCTTAGTATTATTCTTCTTCGTAGTATTATTATTATTAGTGTTATTATTATGCTTATGATTCTTATTATTATTCTTATTATTATTATTATTATTATTCTTATTCTTCTGCTTCTTATGAGTATTATTATTTTTCTTCTTATTCTTCTTATTCTTACTCCTCCTCCTCCTCCTCCTCCTCCTCCTCCTCCTCCTCCTGGTTGCTGCTCGAGGCGGGGCCCCCGAAGTCCCGGCCCGTTCCCCGGGGCCGACTTGACCTGGAAGATGCGCGAGGGCTGGCGAGGCCGTGGCTGCTGAAGACGGGCTTCCCGGAAAGGAAAAAAGAAACAGACGACTCCGGGAAGAGAAACCTCGGCGCGCTAGATAGGAAACGGGCTGCTCCCCGGACGAAAAAAACAAGCTTCCCAGAGCTCCGTTTCAGCAGCCACGGATTTGCCAGCCTTCGCCAGGTTTCGGATTTACATCCTGCAGTCGTGTGTTGGACGGTCCGAGGGGACGGGGAGGGCCGCGGGAGGCTGGAAAAGGCGGAACGCCTCCGCTTCGCTGCCAGTTCGATGCGTAACGAAGGTCTGGGCAGCGGAATACCACGACGCCGAGGCAATAACGGAGAACTCAGCACGTGCAGTTCTCAACACGCAGAACTCGGAGGGACCTGAGGGATCCCCACTCGATGCCTACCTCGCGGTGGTGTTTGGGTCGTGCAAGAGGAGGAGGAGGAGGAGGAGGAGGAGGAGGAGGAGGAGGAGGAGGAGGAGGAGGAGGAGGAGGAGGAGGAGGCGGAGGAGGAGGAGGAGGCGGAGGAGGAGGAGGAGGAGGCGGAGGAGGAGGAGGAGGATGACGAGGAGGAGGAGACCCATCACCGATGTTGCAAGGGGAGGACGAGCGGATGCAGCAGCAGGCGAAGGATCGGCGGCGAGCACAGGGGGAAGTGAGAAGGGGCGGGCCTTCTCAGAATGATCGGAAGCCCCCCGACCTCCTGGTAAGTTTTCTAGGCCTTCCCCGAAGACAAAGACAATCACTCAGAAGTCCCGAGGCCTTCTGAGAAGCCGCGCCGCCTTCTGAGACGGCCTTCTCCTCCTCACTTCCCCCCCTCGCTCGCTGCCTGGTCTGGTTCTGTCCGCAGTCGCGCACTCCATGCGCATCGGCGCATGGTTCAGGCAGGCGAGTCGGGCGTTTCGTAATGCTGGGCATCGCTCGGACGTGTGCACTTTTTCTGGGCGAGGACTATCGAGGAGCACCTTGGACCCTCGTGCGAAAAATAAGCGCACGAGGCCGAAGAATGCACGGGGGATGTGCGTCCGATCGACGGCAAGAATGGGGAGCGACAAATGGCGGACTTCGGAAACCCTGAACCCAAAAACGTTGTCACCTCCTGGAGGCGCATGTCTACTTCCGCCGACCTTCCGCCGCCCTTTCCGCCGCCTTCCGCGGCGGAAGAGATGACAACTCCTTCGACCCTCCAAGGCAAGGGCCAGCGCATCGAGGGGAGGGGAGGGGAGGGGAGGGGAGGGGAGGGAGGGAGAGTAGGGGAGGAGGGAGAGGAGGAGGACGAGGAGGAGGAGGAGGAGGAGGAGGCCCTTTCTGGAACGCCCCAGATGGGGCCAGCGCGTCGAGTGTCGCTCATTTGGCGGACCAGAGGTCGGGCAGCAGGCCCCCGAAGCCGCGGATCCAACCCGACCGAAATCCCGGTCTTGAGGAAAAGGAGGAGGGGGAGGAGGAGGGGGAAGAGGGAAAGAGGAGGGAGGGGAAGAGGGAAGAGTGGAGAGGAGGAGGAGGAAGGAAGGAACGTGGAGGGATAGGAGATAGGAGAAATGAGAAGGCAAGGAGAAGGAGAATGAGAATGAGAATGAGAAAGGAGAGGAGAAGGAAGGAGGAGGAGGAAGGAGGAGTATAGGGAGGGGAGGAGTTAGCCGACCCCGCAAGCCCGCGGATCCAAAACCGACAAATTATCCAGTCTTGAGAGAAGGGCTTGATCCCCAGCCACTCCGCGGCACAGAAGGGGAAGAGGAAAGGCGAGAAGAGGAAGAGGAGGTGGAGGACGGACGAGGAGGGACGAGAAAGGAGAGGAGAGAGGGAGGAGAGGAGGAGGAGAGGGAGGAGGGAGGAGGGAGCGAGGGAGGAGGGAGGAGGAAGGAGGAGAGATAGGGAGAGGGTAGGAAGCAGGGAGGGAGGAGGAGAGGAGGAGGAGGAGGAGATCAGAGAACGAGGAGGACGACGGGAGGACGAGGACGAGGAGAAGGAAGGGAGGAGGGATGAGGGAGAGGAGGACGAGGGGGGAGGAGGAGGAGAGAGGAGAGGAGGTAGGAGGAGGAGGGGGAGGAGGAGGAGAGGAGAGGAGGAGGACTAGGAGGAACGAGACGCGAGAAAGGACGAGGACAGAGAAGGAGGAGGAGGAGGAGGACGTGGGGGAGATGAGGAGAGGAGATGAGGAGGAGAGGAGTAGGAGGAGGAGAGGAGGAAGAGGAGAGGAGGAGGAGGATGAGAGAGTAGGGTGGAGGAGGAGGAGAGGAGGAGATGGAGGAGGAGGGAGGAGGAGGAGAGGAGGAGGAGGTGAGGAGGAAGAGGAAGAGAAGGAGGAGGAGGAGGAGGAGGTGGAGAGAGGAGCGAGGAAGAGGGAGCGGAGAGGGAGAGAGAGGGCGGAATTGAGAGAAGGAGGAGGAGGAGGATGAGGAGGAAAATAGGAGGAGGAGGAGGAGGAGAAGAAGGAGGAGGGGGAAGAGGAGGAGAAGGAAGAGGAGGAGGAGGAGGGGGAGGAGTGGCCGACCCCCGAAGCCGCGGATCCAAACCGACCGACGTCGCGGACTTCGCCAGGCCGCCCTCTTGCGCCAGACCTCGGGGCGAGGGAGAGGCGCGCCGAGGGGCGCGGCCCTCCCTGGAACGCCCTGGGCAGAGGAGGCAGAAGCACACCACTGTTGGGCGTCCGCCAATAGTTACTCACAAGCCCACCCGTCGCCTCCCTTTCTCTTCCTCCCTCCCTCCCTCCCCCAGCCCTCTCCCCACTGGAAGGGGAGGGGGGGGGACACGGCAGGAAACTCCCTCCCTCCCTCCTTCTCTTCCCCCCTCTCCTCGTCGTCGTCGTCGTCGTCGTCGTCGCCGTCGTCGTCGTCAGCGGCGGCGGCGTCGTCGTCGTCGGCGTCGTCATCGTCCTCGTCGTCGTCCTCGTCGTCGTCCTCGTCGTCGGACGTTCAGGGTCGGCGGCACCGGCTGGAAGGCCTCTCCAATACACCGCTGCTCAGGGACAGGAAAATTTTAGGCTGAAAAATGTGATTCACTCGAAGCGATGTCTTGACCAGTAGCCCAGATCCAGGTAGGCGAACCCTCTACTAAGAGAAGAAGCTCCAAGAGAACGCCCAGGGTCCAGTCCAGATTCTTGATTTTCTTGAACGAAATCTGGCGTTCATGAACGTTGCTACTTGTTCTTCCGATTTCTGATGGGCGTGTGCTTGCCAGTGTAGATCCCAAACAGGAAGTTCTGGCACTGCGGGTGTGCAGGCGATGTGATGCACGAGAGTCTCTGTGGTCGTTTTCCGAAACGCAGACATACATCATGCGGGCGGCAATGGGCCCGACCGTGGCGAACTCTCCGGACACCCCCACAGGCAGAGTCGGGCCAGAACGTGGCGCCTCCTCTGGCCACACCCCGCGGGCGGCCACGGGCAGGAACGCAGCGAACCCTCGGAAGACATTCCTCTGGACACCCCCGCGGGCGGCAGTGGGCCCGACCGTGGCGAATTCTCCGGACACCCCCACAGGCAGAGTCGGGCCAGAACGTGGCGCACCCTCTGGACACCCCCGGCGGGCGGCCGCGGGCAGGAACGCCGCGAGAACCCTCGGAAGACGTTCCACGGGCGGCATCGGGCGGCAGAGGGGGAGGAGGAGGAGGAGGAGGAGGAGGAGGAGGAGGAGGAGGAGGAGGAGGAGAGGAGGAGGAGGAGGAGGAGGAGGAGGAGGAGGAGAGGAGGAGGAGGAGGAGGAGGAGGAGGAGGAGGAGGAGGAGGAGGAGAGGAGGAGGGAGGAGGAGGAGGGAGGAAGGAGGAGGAGGGAGGAGGAGGAGGAGGGAGGGGAGGAGGGAGGAGGGAGGGGAGGAGGAGGAGGAGGAGGAGGAGGAGGCCAGGGCGTGGCGAACCCCTGGGACGCCCCCACGGTCGGCGACCGGCGGCCGCGGGGCGGCAACGAGCCGGACGGTGTGGAGCGCTGGGCCTGCTCAGAGGCGTGGCTTCCGCCGCGCCCACAAGTCATGCCAACGGGGGCCTCTAGGAGGAGGAGGAGGAGGAGGAGGAGGAGGAGGAGGAGGAGGAGGGAGGAGGAGGAGGAGGAGGAGGAGGAGGAGGAGGAGGAGGAGGAGGAGGAGGAGGAGGGAGGAGGAGGAGGAGGAGGAGGGAGGAGGGAGGAGAAGGAAGAGGAGGAGGAGGAGGAGGGAGGAGGAGGACTGCGAAGAAAAGGTGCGTGCGCTTGCGGACGAGTCAGCATCAGATCGTGAAGGCGGATCGGATCATGCTCAACATGATGATCATCAGCAGCAGCAGCAGCAGCCGCAGCAGCGGCAGCAGCCCTTTTCCTCATCATCATCGGGAGCACCAACAGCAGTATCGTCAACAGCATCATAATCATCGTCATCATCATCATCATCATCATCATCATCATCATCATCATCATCAGCAGCAGCAGCAGCAGCATGATCAGCATGATCATCACTATCAGCATCATCACCATCGTCATCCATAACATCATCAGCAGCAGCATCAGCATGATCATCATCACCTTTGTTATCATCATCATCAGCATCATCAGCATCATGATCCTCATCATCACCACCATCATCGTCACCATCGTCATCACCATAACCATAACCATCACCATCATCATCATCACCAGCAGCATCATCAGCACCATCAGCACCAGCATTATCATCATCGCTATCTTCGCTATCATCATTATCATCATTCTTACCATCAGCATCATCATCATCATCATCATCATCATCATCATCATCATCATCATCATCATCATCATCATCATCATCATCATCATCATCGTCGTAGTCAGCATTGTCGTCATCATCATCACCAAAATCATCATCGTCGTCATCACAGTCACCATCACCATCGCCATCACCATCATTGTAATCATCATCGACAACAGCATCATCAGCATCATCATCAGCATCATCGTCATCCGCGACGTCATCATCATCAGCAGCATCATCATCATCGTCGTCATCGTCGCCGTCGTCATCGTCAATTTCACCATCGTCACCATTCCTTCTCTTCCTCCTCCTCCTCCTCCTCCTCCTCCTCCTCTTTGCCCTCCCCCTCCTCGATCTCCGTCCCCTGATGCCAAAGGGATTGGGACACGGCACCTTATTCCCTCCTGCTGTTTGAATGCTGCTCCTCCCCCTCCTCGTCGCCCCTCCCGCCTTCCTGCCCACTCATCCTAACGACATCACCACCACCAACATCGCCACCGTCGTCGTCATGGCGATCGCCATCGTCGTCGTCATCCTCAGCACCGTCATCACAATCGACATCATCAGCCGCATCCTAGATCTGTCGACCTGGCTATCACCGCCATCCTCTATCTGTCGATCCGGCGACATCCTCAGCATCGTCGCCGCCCAACCCTCGCCGCCCTCGCAACTGCCGACAGGGCGTCCTGGCGCGCCCCGGCGCGGCCACCTGCTCGGCCGCCGCCGCGCCCCCGCGCCCGACCGCTCCGCCCCCCTCCGCGCCCTGGCGCGGGCGCCGCATCGGGGCGGGCCGCCGCCCGGATGCCCAGGACCTTCGTGGGCCCGGGGCAGCTGCGGCTGCAGGATGCGGCGGGTGGGACAGCACGCCAGGCGGGCAGAGGGGCAGAGAGAGCTAAACGGAGTGTGGAAAGATGCATGTTTAGTGCGCGCCTAGTTTCTAACATGCTAAATGTAAATTATAGGTCTATATGTGTTCGTACACCATACATGTGTATCTATATATATATATATACATATATACACGCATGTACATATAGACGTACATGCGCAAAAGATGTACAGCAACGCATATGTATACACATACATACACACACGTGTGTATATATATATATATGCACAAGTATATGTACATGTACAGATGCATATACACGTATACTTATGGACATATGCATAAACAAATACATAAGAATGCGCATCTGCAAACGTATCTGCATATGCATGTGCTCACGCAAAGGCACATGCATGTACAAATACATATACATGTACATTCATGTGCATTCATATATGTATATACAGATACATAATCATATGCATATACATACACCTGTGCAGTTGCATATGTACGTATGTACATACATATAACATGTATATAAATATATACACTCATATACATAGAAATAAATACATATACGTAAGCAGCAACAAATACACACAAAGATGAGGATACATATATAGATACACAAACATATACAAACATGCATGCATTGAGGTCTAGAGAGAGGAATGGTGAGTCACACAGAGAAAAAGATATATACATACATATATATACATACATCCATACAAAGAGACCGGGAGAACAGAGAAGACAGCCGCATCCTCCTTCTCCTCCCCGTACTCCTCCTCATCGCCCTCCATTAACTTCGTCATAACCATCATGAACAACAACATCAGCATCACCACCATCATCAGCATGCTCCTCCTCCTCCTCCTACTGCTACTACTACTACTACTACTACTACTACTACTACTACTACTGCTACTACTACTACTACTACTACTACTACTACTACTACTACTACTACTACTACTACTACTACTACTACTACTACTACTACTACTACTACTACTACTACTACTACTACTACTACTACTACTACTACTACTACTACTACTACTACTACTACTACTACTACTACTACTACTACTACTACTACTACTACTACTACTACTACTACTACTACTACTACTACTACTACTACTACTACTACTACTACTACTACTACTACTACTACTACTACTACTGCTACTACTACTACTACTACTACTACTACTACTACTACTACTACCACTCCTTCTCCTCCTCCTCCTCCTCCTCCTCCTCCGCCTCCTCCTCCTCCTCATTATTATCCTTGCCCTCCTCCTCCTCATACTCATTATCCTCCTCCTCACTTTCTCCCTCCTCCCTCTTTACCTCCAGCCCGGCCCGTCCTCCCTCCCTCCCTCCCTCCATCTCCCATGCCTCCTTCCTCCCTCCTTCCCTCCTCCTTCCCTCCTGCCTCCTCCTCCTTGGTCGAGGGGAGGAGGACGAGGAGAGGGCCTCCCCTCCCCAAACGGCACTTCTCGTCGAAGCCCGCCGCGCTGCCGCGGGTCCAGGAGGACGGCATCCGCTTCACCGCGGCGTCGAAGCCTGCCCTGCCCTCCTCCATCGAGGGACGGAGGTGGTGTAGGGGCAGGCTGGTCAGAAGAAAATCGCTGTGGGCGGCCCCTGGAAGAAGGAAATGTGAGCATACAGCAGGATCTGCTCCATGACCCCAACTTGAGATGACCCCCTCTCTACAAGCCCCGACACTCCTCTTGATCCCCCTCCTCCAGCACGTCAACGTCCTCGTCGTCGTCGCCATCATCAGCATCATCATCAGCAGCAGCATCATCATCGTCACCACCACCACCACCACCACCAACACCAGCGTCATCATCATCATCATCATCATCATCATCATCATCATCATCACCATCGTCAGCATCGTCAGCATCGTCATCACCACTATCACCCATCAGCATCATCACCATCATGAGTATCAACGTAAGCACTACCACCATCATGAGCAGAAAGAGCAGCTTCTGCATCAGCATAATCAGCAGCAGCATAACAAGCATCGGCATCATCATCGTCATCATCAGCATCATCATCGTCAACAGTATCATCATCATCAACAACATCAGCATCCTCCTCATCATCAGCATCATCATGACCAGCATTATCATAGTCAGCATCACCATCATCATCAGCATCATCATCCTATGCATCATCACAACCATCAGCAGCATCATCATCAACAGAAGCATTTGCATCACCATAATCGTCGTCGTCGCCATCATCATCGCCCGCATCGTCAGAAAAAGCAGCAGCAGCATCACAATAACCATCATCATCATCATCAGCATCAGCAGCAGCATCAGCCTCGTCAGCATCATCATCAGCAGCCTCAGCGTCATCCTCATCAGCAGCATCATCATGATAATCTCCATGATCAGCATCATCAGAATCATCATCGTCGTCATCATCAGCAGCATCGTCAGTACTACCATCGTCATCATCATCATCAGCAGCATCATCAGCATCATCGTCATCGTCGACGTACTCATACTCGCAATCACCATCACCAGCACCATTCATCATCTCACCAGCTCATCACAAGCACCAGCGCCATCACCATCATCAGCATCCCTCATTATCGTCAGCAGCGTCATCGTCATCAACGTAAGCAATCTCATCGTCACCAGCATCATCAGCAGCATCATCATCTGTATCAGTATCACCACCATCATCATCAACATCATCACCATCATCAAGTTCACCATCATCAGCCACATAATCATCACCACCACCACCATCATCATCATCAGCATCATCCTCATCATAATCCGCATCGTCCTCGTCATCATCATCATCATCATCATCATCATCATCATCATCATCATCATCAGCAGCAGCAGCAGCAGCAGCAGCAGCATCAGTATCATCAGCAGCAGCCGCATCAGAATCTTCTTTGCTTCTTCTTCGTATTCCTGCGTAACCATTTTGGCACAAGCCTTCCGGGCCTCCTCGTAAGGCTCCCACTCAGCCTCCGTTCAAAGGCGCGGTCAGAGTTCTCTCTACTACGGTGCGGGGAAGCCCACACACCCACTTCATCGGGCGTCCGTCCGCCCTCCTCGGGACGCGGCGGTCCCGAAGACCACGTCCCACGAGAGCGTCGCGACGGCTCGAGAGATCCCCAAGCAAACCCCAGAGGCATTCACGATCATCTATAGGGAGCCCACAAGGGACGTACGCGCCCAGCTATGTACATGAACACGGCCCCTCGATCCGCGTTATACGAACATTTGTGCAGTGCGTGCTCTCGAAACCAGCGTGGATTCATGTACGTGTACGTCCTTCTGTCGCTCCTGACATCTAGTAGGCGTGCCCGCAGTCCTTTCTCGCCAGCATTGGACTGTTCGGTTTTCTTGACCTTCTGGGCAGCTCACCAGGGGGCGGGCCGTCGCAGGTCATCCGGAGGCTCGCTGGCGGGCCAAGAGATCAGGAGCACCAAGAAAGCGCAAAGAGAACACAAAGAAAAATCAAGCAAACGCGCCAGCCAACCAAGAAGACCAAGACAAGCATTGGTTGTCTTGGTCTGCTTGATTTGCGGCGCTGTTTTCTTGATTGTCCATTGTCTTGTCTTGCTTATCTTGGTTTTCTTGGTTCTCCGGGCTGCTCCCCAGGGCGCCGTCGGCAGGGCTGGGGTCATCGGAGGCCCGCTGGCAGCCCGAAAAACCAAGAAACCAAGAAAACCAAGAAAACACCAGGAAAAATCCAGAAAACGCGCCAGCCAAACAAGAAAACCGAGCAATGACTTGCTTGGTTTTCTTTATTGGCGGCGCCGTTCTCTTGATGTTCCCTTGTGCTTTCTTGGTTTTCTTGGTTTCCTTGGTTTTCTGGGCTGCTCACCAGGGCGCCGTCGGCAGGCCTGGGGTCAGCGGAGGCCCGCTGGCAGGCGGAGGCCCGCTGGCAGGCGGAGGCCCGCTGGCAGGCCAGACATCATCGGGGGCCCGCTGGCAGGCCAGGAAATCGGAGGCCCGCTGGCAGGCTGGGGTCATTGAACACACACATGTGCTCACAACACGTACAACGACGATTCACGACACAAGAAACGACGGGAGCGTCCAGGAAGCGAGACGCCCCTCTGAAGGCCCCTGGGGACCTCGGGAGGCCTTCCCCTCCTCCTGGTTCTCCTCCTCCTCCTCCTCCTCCTCCTCCACCATCCACCCTCCATCCTCCACCCTCCACCCTCCACTCTCCACATCCACTTCCTCCGCGACGGAGAGGCGACCACATGATGCACCCCTTGCCTCGCAGGGAGGGAGGCGCGCGTGAGGCGGCGCTGCAGCCCGTGCAACGGGCGCGCCATGGGCGCGAAAGCGGCGGGCGAGTCACGAGCGATTGCCTCGGGCGGCGCCGCCCGCGCTCAGCTGCGGCAGGTGCGAGCTCCTATCCTGTGGGCAGGTGCACACAGGCGAGCACAAGGAAAAGCACACGTCGGGGCGGTGCCGACGCAGCGGCGAATGGCGCGAACGCGGGCGTGGGAGGGGGCACGGTGCTGCTCTCCGAAGCGTCTCCGATGAGCGGTCGCGCGGAGAGGAAGTGCCACATCATCTGCGGACCGTCGGGAAGATCATCGGATCCTGTGCCATTGTTGAAGTCATGACCACCTGAGAACACGCATCTGACCACATTCGTGCCACCGAGGCAGTCATATCCGTCCTCCACGCAACTCATGTCGTTGGCGGTGTAAGGTCCAACCGGAAAGGCACGCGCATCCGTGCCGTTGCAGCCGTTGTGTACAACATAAGGAGCAGTGGCCTCTCTCAGGCCTGCATATCTGTAGCCATCCCACCACGATTTGTAAATCGGTGGACCGACCCCCGGCGGGTCGTAGGGTGGAATGACCTTGTCATGGTTCCCACCAATCATGATTAGTGATCCGCCACTGTGCCTCTGGGCACGGAGTGAGTGGGCGTGTCCCCAGGTGCTTTGCGTCATCTTTTGAGC